GATCTGACTTGTAAGGACGTCCCCTCGTGTTTGTGACAGCAGCAGAAGCCTTCGGCTTGATTATTTTAATGGCCTGAGTGGCTACAAAGGAGCCACGTCTGCTCATTCCCCTTTGGCCAAACTCAGGGACAGCATGTCTTCAAGGCAAGAGCTGCAACTGAAGGCCTTGAAGACACCGTATTCTGTGGTGTGCAAAAGTGCACTAAATAACGGACTCGGAGAACAGCGCTCCTCTGACGCCCAGGCCCGGGTGTGGACCCTGCCGTGGCTGGCACCGTGCGCCTGCCAGCAACACGAGGGCGTGGACGGTGACTGCCGCGACACCAGCATGACATGGGCACACACTCCGGTGTCCAACAAACGGAAACCGTACTTCCACAGGCGATTAAGAATACATGACCGTCTATTATTTTGAGGTCACTGAAACTTTACACAGATTACTGCATTATTCTGCATTCTTGCATTACTACGTTCACACCTTCCATAGCGACCTCCCTGCTAATGTCCTGGCTCTCAGCACACGCCAGGATGCTCTTTCTCCAACACAAGCCCACCGTCCCCTCCCGAGCATCTGATGGCTCCTCGAGCACCAAGTTCGCGGCCTCGACGAGCTTACCAGGCCCAGGCGCACAGTCCCCCTCGGGTGGCCCTGGAACAGCCATTCCAGACGCACCTGTCAGTCCCCAAGGGGAAGACCCTCACGCTCATGAACGTGCCTTGGAACATCACCCCCTCCACCACCACCTCAACTCCATGTTTAAGGGGGAGCCCAGCAGGTTCAGGATCCTGGGCATGCCATGGCACGCCGTGGCAGTCTGCTGTCTACCTGGCATGGGAGGGCGGCACCTCACCTCCCCAGCTCCCATCACTGGGTCCACAAACCACCATAACTAATGCACGAATGTGTGGGTTTGTACCAGGAGCACAGAGTCTGAGTGATGCATTTGGTCTGGCCCCAAATTCGTAGCCACGTAGCCTCGGCCACACCTCCTCCTCCCCTGCTAACCCGCATTTGCTGTGGAAGCAGGCTGATGTGAGACGTTCTAGGCCACGGGAATGCACATGTGCCGTCCCTGTAACGGGCCGCTCCTCACACCTGGGGCTCAGCCACACTATGCACCCCCGTGTGTGTGCAGGATGCACATGGCCAGGGCCCTCCCTGGGAGGCCGACCTCTGTACCATCCCTCACTCACCACCGATGCATCCCTCAGACGCACCCGACAGCAACGAGAGCGCCTGCCCACCGCTGTCAGAACACAACACACAGCAGCGGACAGAGGCATGACCGTGTTGCCTTAAACACCTCCAGCTTCAAGCACAGCCCCGTGAACAATGCTTCTCTGCTGTTTGACGCCCGTGCTGTAACTCGGTGTGAATCTGGGGACCGTGGTGCTTTGGGACAACAGGGCACCTCCCAGAGAGACGCACAGAAGGTGCTGTCCACGTTCAGTGGCAATTCAAGAGCACAACCAAAGCCAGAGTGGTTCACGGTGGAGAGTGAGCGGCTCAGACACGTGTGGGCCGTCCACCTCCAACTCGTCACTTCTCAGGCACAGCGAAATCTTTCACGCACATGGGCCTAAAAGAAAAATCGACCAGGAATCGTTTAAACCTACAAAATAAAATTGTGCTGAGTTTACAGTGAGCATATGAGGGTCATTTTTACCTCGTCCGGCTCGGAACGACTCAGAGTTGCCCAGAGGCTTGTCTGGGCCTTTGTTCAACAAGGAGGGAGTCTACGCTCCGGGAAAACTGGCCCGTGAGAGTCCTGGGACTTGCAGTCAGGCACACGGCCTGCGGCAGCAACAGGGGACGGTGCGGCCATCAGGGACGTCCCCCGCGCCACAGGCACGCCCTTCACCTGTAAATGAGCTAAACCTGATGCCCGGTCCGTGCTGAGTCAGGGGGCAGCCCCCCCACAGCTGGCCGAGCCCCCGGGGACATGACATGACACCACCATCAGCACAGACCTCCGGGGATGCCTCACGGAGCACGCAGACTCGAAGCTGACGGCAAACTTGCTCCTTAGGTTTAAAGATTCAGATCTGGGAGACAGCCACACAGTCTGACGGACGTTGGCCAGCAGGGAGCCTGTTCCTAACGTGATGGACGGTTTTAAAATAAAGTGGAAAAGTTGAGTCGTGATGATCTTTATTTTGGTAAAATTACCCTTGGTGTAGTTTGATCAATAGATTTACTTGTGAATGGAGCCACACGTGAACACGTCCACATAAATACTCCCATAACACGTCAGAACAAATATAAGGGAGCTACAGAGTGTGGAGACTGAAGAATGGAGACACAGCTGTCCCGTTCCTTCTGGAAGGGGCCGCCGTGAGCGGGGACCTGTGTGTCAACAGGCCGTACGGGGGGCTGGGAGGAAAGCACGTGCAGGGCCTGAGAGGTTGGAGTGTGTGGAGCAGACAGTACAGAGAAGGGAGACGAGCGTGAAGACAATTATTTCACGTGGTCAAAGTATCTCTTTTAGGGAAAAGAAATGACTGAAGTTGAAAAAGATTTCTGAACTTGAATAAAAATGACGGACTAGCCCCCCAGGTTACAGCAACGGCCGCCCTCAACCTTCCCACAGCATCAGGTCCGGGGCTCCCTGGCTGCTGCTCTGGCACCCGGTCCTGGCTCCTCGCTGGATTCCACCAGATGTCCAACGAGCTCCTGCTCATCCAGCTCAGAAACACACACCTGCCCCACCCCCCCGCCCCAGCATCCATAGCACCTGCCCCAGCACCTGCACCCCCTGCCCCAGCACCTGCCCTAGCACCTGCCCCCCCTGCCCCAGCACCTGCCCCAGCACCTGCCCCCCCTGCCCCAGCCCCTGCCCCAGCACCCGTCCCCCCTGCCCCAGCACCTGCCCCCTGCCCCAGCACCTGTACCCCCTGCCCCAGCATCCGCACCCCCTGCCCCAACATCTGTACCCCCTGCCCCAGCACCTGCCCCAGCACCTGCCCCAAGAGCCCCCCGCACCTTTGGGGACAACACAATTTGCACAGAGTGTGTTTAGAGGTGACTACCGCGTGCCAGCTCTCCCTCCCCTCGAGTCCGCTCTCAGTGGCATCACTGAAACTGCTGCCATCAGGGTCTCCTGCAGCCTCGCCTGGCCCTGCAGCAGCCTCCAGCCACAAAGGAGGAAGGGACCCCTCAGCCATGGGACGAGACAGCCACAGCATCGCTCCAGCGGCTTCCCTGACAGGCCGCTGCGCCCTCGTTCCTTCCCAACGCCCCACCTCCATCTATCTCTCCCTGCCCTTACACGATGGTCTTCAGGAGTCTGGCTCTGGGCCTCCTTTTCCCACCAGAGGGCTTTCCCAGAAAACCCCAGCCTCCCTTCCACCAGGATTAACATCCAGGTATGAATCTGGATCCATCCGGATGCACCGTCGCAGAGCAGCCCCGGCCCAGAGCCTGCTAACACCCCCCGGCCCCAACTGTGTCCTGGACACAGGTGACTCATAAGCACATCGGCACAGAACCAGGGGGCCACACGTGTGCCTGGCCCCGGCCTCGCGGCTTGTGTCCTGCTGGCACAGCACTCGCCTCCCCCTCCCATGCCCTCCACTCACACCTCCCGCCCACCCCCTGCAGAGCAGCGCTGGGGAGCCGCCACAGTGCGGGTGTCCGCAAAGGACTCCCAGCTAACGACCCGCCACCGGGGCCTTCTCAGGGCCTTTCACTGCCCGAAGCTGACCAGGGCCTTATGCCCTGCGCACCCAGCCACGCCCGCCTTCTCCGGGCATGGGGCACTTTGGGCTGCCCCACATCACGTCCGCTGCGTAAAGCCGCTGTGCCGAGCACCGTGCCCAGCCCCCACCGGGCGGGCGCTCCGCCAGCCCTGGAGCTAATGTGTATTCACAACCCGCTGGTTCGTGGTCATCCCCTCATACGAGTCACGGAACGGTGCCGGGGGCACAGTCTCCTTGTCTTCCTCCTTCCCACCTGCCCGAGTGGTTCACACTTAACAAACCAGAACCCAATTCTGGACCCAAAGAGGCCTGTCCATCTCAGACACACACATCACCTGCCACAAAACAGCGCAGGTAATAATCACTTCCAGCTTCTCAAATAAGATCCTTAAGTGGGTAATGTTTAAGCTCAAAGCATGCATGATTCTTAATAATTTATACAGCAGGCATACATGAAAGACAAGATATTCCCAATGTTCAGTGATAATCTCCAGAATCTCAAAAAAAGGGAGAACTGAGACTGTATTTGTTATGGGGGAGTAGTTACAGTATCTTTTGAGACATGTCCTTCATCTTGTGGGTGTTTTCATAAATAGATAAAATACCTAATGAATAAATACACATGATTAGGTAAACACTGAATGTCAATTTACACATAAAGATTTATAGGCAAATGTGATGTTTCGCTTGAATAAGAAATCCGAGCCATTATGACAACAGTCTAAGTGTCCATCAGTAGATGAATAAAGAGACAGCACACACACATATATTTACACACACACACACACACACACACACCAGCATGGCACTCCACCATGAGAAAGAAGGAAATCCCGCCAGTTGCAACCACCTGGATGGACCTTGAGGGACTTATGCCAAGTGAGATGACGAGGGAAAGACGAATTCCTCAGGCATCACGTGATCGCATCTGTGGAATCTAAGAATCTACAGCAGGACAGCACAGGTCTGTGTCCCACACACAGGGTCCAGGGCTGAGGAGACAGCACAGGTGGGTAGAAAGCCACAAACTGTCAGCTGTGAGGAGAACATGGCCGCACATCTGATGTCACGTGGTGATTACAGTCAGTACCATGAGCGTGTGATGGGATCGGCTAAGGGGACAGACCTTAATAGTCCCCGCTGCAGCTTTGTAACGTGCAGATGGTGACCAACCAGATGGTGGGGACCCTTTCACGACACGGACGCACATTATGTCACCGCGAAACGCACTCAAGTATCTTACAGTTTTACATCAATCATCCCTTAAGCGAACGTCAAAAACAAGTCTGAATTGCACCAAATGTTTTATAAAGGTTTAATTTCAGTGTTCAATATTTTGATACAAAACAACAGAATATCTAAACAGCGACAGAACATCCTGAGTTCTTCTGCTATCGTTGTGAACTGTTTTCAGTTTGCAGATGTGGAGCTGAGTGAGGTGACGAACTGGCTTCCGTGAGTGACCTGCAAAGAAAGGAAGATCGTTAGGAAATTCTGCAGAACAGCAGTGGTGTAAGTCACAGGCAGCGTGGCCAAGAGTGCAGGCACTGCTGCACCGCTGGGGCCTGGGGCGACCGCACCACGTGTGCCCGGGAAACGGCACCGCCATCCGCACACCCGGTGAGACGTCGGCCTGTTCCAGTGCTTCTGTCACTGCCGTGGACCCCAGAGCTCCCGGGACCACGGACGGTGGGCTCGCGCTCGCTGGGGCTGGTCCAGGAGCTCATGCTGTGCCCTCCCACGGTGCCCTCGAGGCTTCAGCTCTGCCTCCCAGCAGCGTCTAGCTCTGTGCCTCCTTCCCGGGAGGCCCAGCCCCGGCTGCGAGCTCACAGCTGGCACAGCTACTGCAGGGACAGACGTGGGAGCGCCTCAGGCCGCGTGTCACTCCCTCTGTTAGCATGAAAGGCACCCACTCTGGGGACACCTGCCCAGATCGCCTGTGTTTTTCTTTCCTCTCCCTCACAGTGTAAGGTTAGTGGCAGTTAGAGCCCAGCAGGCACGGCTTCAGTGGGGGAGAGGTGGCCGCGCACGAGGTGGGGCCCAGAAGGGGGAGGAGGCTCCATCCTCCCTGGTGCAGGTGCCCACGGCCGAGGACTCCACGGATGCCGCGTGCCGGCTCCTGCCGCACCAGTCACTTAAGCCAGAGACACCCTCCCTAAAACGCCCTGACAGCCGTCTCCATCCCCGGCCCGTTTCTGCCACACGAACATTATTGTCTTGACAGCCGTCTTCCAACTAGAAAATGAGCTCCTCTGGGAAGGGCCGTTTGCCATGCAGCTCTGCCGTCCCAGTGCTGGCCCGTGGCAGGTTTAGAGAGAAGGTGAACAGACACATCACAAACAGCCTGCAGACGAGGGTCGTCTGCTGCCACAGCTGCACCAGAAAATACAGCGACGGGGCCAGGGAATGACAGTGAGGACAGGAGCGGGAGGGTGGCTGGGTAGAAATGGTATGGGCCAGGACTAGAGAATGTTCTAGAAGAACCCTACAAGGACAGACATTCCAGTGAAGATGGGTTCTCCCAGGGACACAGAGCCCATGCAATTAGGACGCCACGTCAGGCCCTTTCCCAGTGTCCGGGGCTGTAACTATGGCTGCATCTGCACGCATGTGTGCACACGCGCGCACACACACACACACACACACACACGGGAATACGTGCACACATGCGTACGTAAATGCACATGCACATGCACGTACAGTAACTGCATCTCTCTACACACGTTTATGTGTGCACGTGCACAGACAAGAAATCGCCGTGTATCTGGAAAGAAGAACCTGATAAGACGTGGCCACCGACATCAGCTGCATTCTGAATGCAGCTAATCTGCCCAGGCATCCAAGCGCGTTCTGGAACTCCACTCCGGCTTCTCCCTTGCTTCAAGGAGCCACGCCCCAGGTGGGGAAGCAGGGCCGGGGGCTTCGGGGGTCATCTGGTCCAATCCCCAGAGACACGGGACACTCACGAGGCCATCTTCCCGCGCGGGCAATAGGGCTTCTGAAAACCTGCGCGGGGCCCTCCTGCGGGAAGCGTCTGGGACTGTCACGAGCACGCAGAATGAACCCTCACCACCGCCCCCCTCCCATCGAGGGGCAAGAGCACGGGTCACCTTCTCTTCACTTTGGCTCTGCCTCAAACCCCACTGTCCCAGCAGGAGGAAGGGATTCCGGTCACAGGCGACGGGGACCGCTGAGGCGCCCACGTCACGGTGGCAGGAAGGGAGAGGCCCCTCAGTCCAGAGCTGTGTCACCAAGGGGAGGCCCGGTGACGTGGGGAAGAAGCTCAAGCAGCTCCCACGGGCAGTCATTTTCAACTGGACCCAAGCCACGAGGCCCTCATCCGGCACAGGTGGGGCGTACGTCGTCCCTGCCACGTCGTCTGGCACCTGGGTGGCACCGGCAGCCACGGACACAGACACAGGAGGTGGAGGTGAGGGGAAAGCAGGCAGCCAGGAACGTGCGGGCCATTTGAGCAGCAAACTCTCGACAAAGCTGCGAAGGGAGCACGTGCAGACGGAAGGAGGGAGCACCATCCGGAAACAGGAGCGCAGACACGGCGGCCACGGGAGTGTGGAGTCTCGCCAGTCATGAGAGAAGGTAGGGAACTGGCCCCGAACGGGAGGAGAGACGGGAGGGCGCGGGACCCCGCTGCAGCGGGCACAGCAGGGCCCTGAGGGCGGGGACTGGAAGCCGCCACACGCACACGTGCAGTCACACACATACAGACACACGTGCAGTCGCACACGTGCAGTCATACATACAATCACACACAGTCACACGCACACGTGCAGTCACACACATACAGACACACGTGCAGTCGCACACGTGCAGTCATACATTCATTCACACATAGTCACACGCACACGTGCAGTCACACACATACAGACACACGTGCAGTCGCACACATGCAGTCATACATACAATCACACAGTCACATGCACACGTGCAGTCACACACATACAGACACACGTGCAGTCACACACGTGCAGTCATACATACAATCACACAGTCACACGCACACGTGCAGTCACACACAGACACACGTGCAGTCGCACACATGCAGTCATACATACAATCACACAGTCACATGCACACGTGCAGTCACACACATACAGACACACGTGCAGTCACACACGTGCAGTCATACAATCACACACACATAGTCACATGCACACGTGCAGTCACACAGTGCAGTCACACGCACACGTGCAGTCACACAGTGCAGTCACACACACACGAGCAGTCACACACACATACAGCCACACACACAAGCAGTCACACATCCAGTTGCACACACGAGCAGTCACACACACACGTGCACAGCCACACACATACAGCCACACACACGAGCAGTCACACACACACACGTACAGTCACACACGTACAGTCACACACATGCAGTCACACACACGAGCAGTCACACACACATGTACAGTCACACACGTACAGTCACACACACGAGCAGTCACACGCACACGTGCAATCACACACACACAGGTACTGGGCAGCCTGGGCAGTCCTTCCCAATGGCTTGCTCTGGAGTCTGGACTGGTCTCGGGCCGGTGACTGCAGAGAGGAGGGGCCCCGCCGGGGCACAGGGTGTGCCCGGCCAGTTATGACCACTGGGCTGCTGGGAAGGAACACCTCTCACCAAACTTAACACTTGGGATTTCTATCTGAAAACGTGAGGATCTTTCTGGAAGTGCATTGGGACACACTTTTGGAAAGATTCATCCAGAGCTCAAAGAACTCTGTATGTGTGGCAGCTGAAGCGGCGCTTCGGGAGAGTCCCATCTCTGCCGCGCTGACCACCTCGTCACATGGAATGGGACCGCTGTCAGCGGCGCTGCGTCCTTGGAGAAACTGCAAGGCAGGGTCACGCTGACGCCTGGGAAGGAGCTGCCAGTGCCCCGGTCACGGTGACGGCACGGGCTCCACGTGTGTCCCTGGGACTTCGCTGGTTGACAGGTTCCTCCTCTCTGCACAAAACCTGTGCACGTCCGGCACGGCCTGCAGGTCACCGCAAGTCTGCCCGCGGTGACAGCCTCTGTCTGACATGCCCTGCACAGTGGGAACAGGCACACTTCTGGTCGACCTCTACTGCCAGCAGGGGAGGGGTCTACTTCCCCATCTGAACCCCTGTCCCGGAGGGTGAGGGGGGCGGTGGGGGGACAGCTCCCTTCTACACCTGCAACCCGGCCACACTGTTAGGGACACTGAGGAAGGAGGCGTCCCAGAAGGCCGCCTGCGGGGGGTGCTGACCTGGCAGGAAGCCGGAAGGTGACAGGCCCACACTGCTTGTTGCAAACCGGGGAAGGCCCATGAGGCCCGGGCGTGTGACAGACGTGCTCAGGAGACACCGCGGGGAGGAGCCTGCGTCCCCGGCCTCTCCCTCAGGAAATAAACTCTGGGCAAGATCATTTGAATCTAAGTCTTGTGTAGTCTGCAGCTGAGTTCTTACCAATTTAGGGAATTACTTTGTCTCCTTAACTCTTCTCACCATGTGAACGGACAGTCTGTCCAGGCCTCTGACCACCTGAGATCAGTGCAGCCGAGACGGGTTTCTGCCTGCCCACATCTGTGCGTCTGTAATTCGGGGGAAATCTCTCGGATAACTGGCCCGGAGATGATCCACCCCCACAAGTCACAGCGTCTTTGCTGGAACCCAAACGAGGATGCCACAGGCGCCCCAGCCACACCCTGGATCTCAGAGGCCACAGGCGCCCCAGCCACGTCCGGTATCGCAGAAGCCACCTCCATCACCAGGACATGAGGTGGTTTCAATTGTTCTTCTCTAAGCAAATAAATAGAAGACACAAAATATACCATATTTTATGCCTGGTCATGTAGTGATCTTTACGCCTGAGGAAAATCAGCACTTCCACACTTTCGGATCCGCCTTATGAAGCTCCTAGCATGAAGGACGACCATATCTTCATAGGACTTAAGGCGTCCCACCTCGGCTGGTGCTGTGTGTCCCCAGGAGCACGGTGAAGGTAACACTGATTACTCTGTAAACACACGTGGCCATCACAGCAGCAGACGGATTTCCACCCTCAGTCTGACACTCACCCATCAGCTGACTTTTGGTAAACTCTCTCCCCCCCCTTTCAGCATCTCTCTCTACCAAGTGTGTACAAACTGAGCACTCCTGCAGCAGGATGCTGGCTACCACCCCACCTGCTCCCAAGGACCCTGACCAGCAACCACATGGATGCGGGGCGGGGAGGGATGGTGGTCCCCACTGAGCCAGACAGACTCACTCTGCCCCAAATCCCAAGTTTGCAAGACTGTGTTCAGTCTCTCGAGTGTGGACCCTCAGTGAGGCAAACCCAGATCTGGATGCTAGTGCCATCTGTCGTGCCCTGGGTTCTGGAAGGTCTCCACCAACAGCTGGATAACCCAACTCACTTTTGCTTGGGACATTTTGTTTGGATTTCCGTTCCTTTAAAACTGAAGGGGCGCTACGATCAGGGTCACACGTGTATTCCCGGGACAGTCCCAGCAGGTGCTCAGTGTCCTGGTAACTCGGCCATACGTCCCTCTCACTCTCAATCACATGCTGAGTCAGCTAATAAGTTACAGAGTCACAATTCCAAAGCCCTCACCCTGTTCTCTGAGTACAAAAAGAGGTGAGACGGTACATGGGCAGATGTTAGAACGCTGCAGCTGTCGGGTGCAAGCCCTCGCTCCTCGGAGAAGGGTCTGGAGCACTTCACTAGGAGAAAGAACTCGGCAAACCCTTGTTCACTGAGAGAAGCCAGTGTTCCAGCCAGCAAGGGCCTCGGGGTAGCCTAAGGACCGGAAAGCACCTGTTCTCTCGGGCTGCTAACAACCCATAGTTGCTAACGCACCATCTCCCGTTAAAATGGGAGCTCAGCGTTTTCTTCAGGAACAGGACGGCCTCCTTCTACTTGGAAAGCGAATAAACGAAGAGTTCACCTCACTGCAAGCGCATCGGCCAACGCTGCTCCAGCACACAAACACTTAGTAAGTGTAAAGTTTATCCGTCCCTGGAAAACAACGCATCGACTTTACAGAGACAGGCTTACCGCCATCAGGCCTCAACGTGCGCATCTGCTTCCTGCTGTGCGTCTTACGTGCTGGCGACGGAAATACTGAGCCAGAGCTCACAGAATAACTGCACTGTGCTCCCGGGGAAGCGGCGCCTGGTCTGCACCCCTCTTCCATCCCTGCACACGGGCTGTGCCGGAAGGGCCCCCAGTCCACGCTGTGCCCCGTAAGGCACCGTTCTCATGCCCCAAGACTGGGGCATCACTCAGGTTATCCTATCCTGAGCCAAAGGCTGGATCACCGACCCCACATGTGTCCCGGGCAGATGCCAGCAGGTGAGAGAATACGGCCGAAACACAGATTCCACACACTTCTACAAGTATAATCACAGCAAAGCGAACTCTGAAACAGTCAGAATGTGAAGCAAAATAAGCCCCATTCCCTGCAGACACAGGATTACTAAATGCTGCGGAAATACTCACCTGCAAACTGGGACGTGGCCTCCGCCGCAGATGACGATGGCCAGGCCGTCCGGAAGCCTGTATGGAGGGCAGGCACCACACTCGACACCCAGAATTCTCTCCTCCAGCAGGGTGCGGCCGAACCGTCCTGGGGCGGTGACTCTGCAGTGGAGACGCGCTGGTCTGGGTGCGTGTCACCTGGTGCAACGTCCCAGGACAGGAGGGGCGGGTTCCTGAACTCCAGCAGCGAGCTGTGATCCGGGCAGGAGCCGGCGGTGCATCCGCGGTGTTCCTCAGGTGTGAGGAGCGCTTCGTGCTCGCTAGGAGAGAACAGCGTGTGCGTGAAAACGAGCAGCTCTGACCGGGGTGGTGGCACTGCACACAACAAAGGACCCTTCCACACAGGACAGGCCAAGAGCACTGTGACGGGACTGACCTGTTCAGCCTGGAGGGCAGCAGACGGGGGCCGGTGGCCGTCACCCGCAGACGCGTCGTCTCCGCCCCAGGCGCACGGGCCTGCCTTCCGACCGTCCTCCCAGACAGCCGCGTCAGCTTGACGCTGTCACTGGATTTCAGGTTTGGAAAGGAAATCACACACAACGAGGCACCAAACGTTCTTTAACAGACAAGAAGGTGAAATCTCAAACCGCGATGTTTCGGCTGAAGTGACAGTTGAAATGTGTCTTCTTTGAATTAACAAAACGCTTCCGAGAATAAGGTCTAGAATAAAGTAGCCAATTAATGTAAAAATTACGAACTCTGGTTACATATCACGAGTTAGGAATCTTCAGCGTGATCGTGAGGGTGAAGGAACTTAATTCCTGTCAAGAGGAACGCGTGCTAACGGCCCACACGCGCGGAGCAGCGCAGGGCGGGGGCCACCGTCTCCAGGTGCTCCGGCTGCCGCGGCCTCGGCGCACGTGCACCTGCGGGGGGCCGAGAGCCGCCAACTAGCAAGACAGTAAAAGGTGATGTCTTCGCAGAGAGCGGCCTGATCGAATGCAAACCACAGTCGCAGGAGCTACTCTGTGGTCCCACCAACTGTTCCTGGTTTTTCCTTCGAAGCCCCCACCCACCACCGTAAACCAGCAAGGAAGCCCTGACCTTGGGAGTCTGCCCACAGCAAAGCACGGTCAGGGTCCAGAGACAGTGAGGTCAGGGCCAGCCGTTCCCCATAAAGGGCCAGGGAGGAAATACGTTAGCCTTTGAGGAGGACACGTCCTCTGCCACAATGATCACTGCGGGGGAAACAGCCGGCCAGGATGGACCCCCACGGGGGGCCGGGGGCCGGTAAAGCTTCGTGACCACAGGCAGGGGGACACAGACTGTGGTTCACTGGCCCCGAACTGGGGCCATCCAGGGGCAGGACTGGATGACCGCACGGGGTGGAGAAGCTGAGAACACGTTCCCCGCACACCGCAGACCCCGTGCGGAGCAGGGTCAGGACCCCGGGGCTCCAGGGTCACCCTGCAGACCCCGTGCGGAGCAGGGTCAGGACCCCGGGGCTCCAGGGTCACCCTGCAGACCCCGTGCGGAGCAGGGTCAGGACCCCGGGGCTCCAGGGCCAGCAGGGGTGCTGGGCAGCAGCCCCACGTGTGGATGTCCTACATAACGCAGTGAGACACGTCACCTCTGCTGCCTGGTCGTGGCACAAGGGGACAGCACCCTCTGTCTGTTGTCTAAGGGAGGACCCTCTAGCACCACCTGGGTCACGGCCACCTGTGACACCTGGGAACGGCGCAGTGCAGGAGACCTCAGGTGCAGGGACACCACACTGGCGCTCCTCCCCTTGGGTACCAATCCCAAATTTCCTTCGAGACCCATGTCCAGCACCTGCCCCGGGGCTCACACGGCGAGTCCTCCATCCTGAACTCTGCGGGATCACAGCGCCAGCGACACCAGCACATCAGCCTCCACACTCTTCCCGTTCTTTTCATCAGCATTTATGCTTTCCCTCATCCGTTTACAAGAGGCTACCCCTATTCTATCCTGCACACAAGACTGTACACAGTAGGCACTTAACAAATGCTTGTTAACTTTTTCACACCAATGACTTAGTTCAAAAGCTCAAAACATATACAGATAGCTGCTGACTACTCACAAACATGAGCAGCGGGGGTCTGTCAACAATCTGGTGTGAGTCCCGGCGTCCCAGAGAGAGCGTGGGCATGCGGGGGCGGGCAGGGGCCCGGGCACCACGACTCTGCATTCAGCACCCGCACAAAGAGCAAAGTACCTTCCCAGCCCAGGCTTCTTCCTGCGTAAAGTTGGAATAACACTGGCAGTGGCCTCCCAGGGTGTCTGGAGGTTAAATACGACACATGTTGAAATCATCAGGCATTTGGGGTGGCTCAGTCGGCTGAGCTTCCAACGTCGGCCAAGGTCATGAACTCGCATTTTGTGAGTTTAAGCCCTGCATCGGGCTCTGTGCTGACGGCTCGGAGCCTGGAGCTGCTTCGGACTCTGTGTCTCCCTCTCTCTCTGCCCCACCCCTGCTTGGGCTCTGTGTCTTTATGTTCAGAAATAAAGATTTAAAAAATTAAAAAATAAATCGTCAGGCACTTAACAAGCACTTGGGTGTTACCCTGAAACATACCAGGAAGGTCGGCAGAGAGAGGCTGTGGGCAGAGGAAGCTGCTGGACAGACAGCGTCCACCCAGCCCGGACATAGCTTCCCAAGAACACGGACACAGAGCTCCCGGTTCACCAGCCTCCGGAGCCAGGATGCAAGTGTTCGGGGCACTCTTTATCCCGAAAATGGTATCACTTTTTTATAAAGCTTCCTTCCACTGGTGCTTTCTTTTTCAATTACGGAAACAGAGACAACTAAGAGGGGGACACGGGTGGGCGTTCAGGCGTGCCAGGCATGGAAGGTGGATGATGTCAGAGGAGCAGCTCACAGGATGGCAGCTGAAGATCCACGTTCAGGACGCGGCAGAGCTCAGCTCCGAGCTGGACCTGAGGGAGGCGGCAGAGGCCGGGAGGTGGGCAGGCTCGCGGGGGCTCGCTAAGCACCTGGCCTTTGTTTGCAGAGCCTGTGAAAGGGCCGCCAGGCCACTTCTCCAGTTAGAGCCGTGCTTCCTAGCCTGAGCCACCCCAGGAACTGGTCTGGACCTGAGAATGTGTTCCTGTGTCCTGTTCACGCTGAGTGAAGGACAGAACAAGAGAATCCCCTTGACAAAATGCACAAGCCCCTAATGAAAACCACTGTCCCAGCTCCTGATTCCTTGGTCACTGAAGGACCCAACCCTGAGGGTTACTTGTCTGGGCTCATTCTTTTGGGTCCTGCCTGTACATACACCTTGAGGGAAATAGCACCAAACCACTTTATAGTTTAGATTGCTAAGATGTGATTCGAGTTTAACTGCAGGGGTTAAAACAAAGTCTTCAGGACCCTCAGGAATTAATTTTCAAAGGAAAAAAGACAGTAAGTATGGCAGGAAATTGGGATGATAATTTTCTCAGGTCCCTCAAATCATACCCCTGAGGTGGCCACCTACTAGCTAAACCACTCCCACTCGCTCAGATTTTTCTTAAATCTCATTATGCTCCACTGAATGTCTTTAACAGGAGCTGCAGACTGCCTGAAAACCAGTGGTGCTGCTGACTTCAAACCGAGTGCGCAAGTGTGCATATGTGCTTGCATGTGTTATGTGTATATGCATGTGTGTTTGCCTGCATGTGCATGTGAGTATGCATGTGCATGTCTGCATGCATGTGTGCATGTGTGTGCGTCTGTGTTTGCGCATGTGTGTGCGTCTGTGTTTGTATGCATGTGCATGTCTGCATGCATGTGTGCATGTGTGTGCGTCTGTGTTTGCCTGTGTGTATGTGTGCGTGTGAGTATGCATGTGCATGCGTGTGTGCATGTGTGTGCGTGTGTGTGCACGTGCATCTGTGTTTGCACATGCATGTGTCTGCACATGGGTGCACATGTGGGTGCGTGTGTGTACATATACATGTGTGCGCATGTACGCTGTGTAGCACATGTGCATGTGTGTCTGTATCTGCATGTGTGTGTTTGCATGTGTGTGCATGTACGTTGTGTGCCATGTGTGCATTTGTGTGCATGTGCATATGTGTATATGAATGTGTGTGCATACACTGTGTGCCACATGTGTGCAAGCACACTTGACCATGTGCACTGGGTGAGGACATGTGTGTCTGCATGCATGTGTATGTGCATGTGTGCGCGTACAGTGTGCCATGTTTGCACATGTGTGCCTATACATGTTTGTGTGTGCTCATGTGCATATGTGTATATGCGTGTGTGTGCATACACTGTGTGCCACATGTTTGCAAGCACACTTGACCATGTGCACTGGGTGTGGACATGTGTGTGCATGTGTGTGCGTACACTGTGTGCCGTGTTTGCATGTGTATGCCTGTGCACGTTTGTGTGTGTATGTGTGTATGTACACTATAATGCTGTGTGTTTCCATGTGTGTGCATGCACTCTGGGTTCATACATGTCTGTGTGTGCATGTGTGTAGGTAAGCATGTGCGCATGTGTGTGTGCACACAAGTGTGTGTTTATACCCAAACAGCTGCTGACTAACCAATTAAAAGATATTCTTAAAGGAACAGTCTGTCGAATCTAAATAATTCTTTTGGTCACAGCACAGCTGCGATGAACCCATAACACTCTTTCTAACTTAAAGCTGTAGCTGGAAACCTGTTCTGAAAGACAAATTATTCACAGTATTCTTTAGTTGCGTGAGATCCAGTGTGCAAAACCACAAGCACCCCAGAGGCTTGTTAGTGACAAACCAGCATCCGGTACAGAGTCCCATAATGCTCCTTCGAGAAGACGGATGGGCCTCTGATATTGATTATTCTCTAGTTTAGATAATAATCTCCCAAGTCAGCCCCACGTGCTTTGCAGAGTGCCAGGGTTATATAAGCAAGGGCGCCATGCCTCCAGACGGAGGAGACGTGGCCCATTTTGCTCACAGCGCAGGTTGACACAAACAGGTTCCTGATGATGCAAATTCCTAGCAGAATAAAGCAGCCGAGCTCCGTCAGGGTCACGGACTCCACTTCCTGCTGACACAGGGCACGATCGCCTGACTCCATCCCCTTCCTAGGCTGTGTATTCAAGCCGGGGGAAGATCTACTGGACGCTCACATCCCCACGTGCATTCAGACATCCCACTTCATCCTCCACACGTCCGAAGAAACACATCAGTGCGTCCGTAAAGGTCTGTTAAGGTCTGTTCGAGGTTTTAACTCTGGATGACAGCCAAATTCTCAACAGTTAGATCCGCCTTCAAAAAATCCGTGTGCTCCACGGGGCGCCCGGGTGGCTTAGTCGGTTAAGCGTCCGACTTTCGCCCAGGTCATGATCTCGCGGTTTGTGGATTCGAGCCCCGCGTCGGGCTCTGTGCTGACTGCCAGCTCAGAGCCTGGAGCCTATTTCAGAGTCTGTGTCTCCCTCTCTCTCTGACCCTCCCCTGCTCACGCTGTCTCTCTCTCTTTCCTAGAAATAAAAAAAAAAAAAACATTTAAAAAAAAAAAAATCCGTGTGCTCCTTGGGTCAAATAAGCCATTATAAAGGCAGCCAGTCCTGCTCATTACACAGTTAGCTCACAAAAGGTCCGTGAAATTTCTAATAAAATGGAAACCAGGTTTATTCTTGCTTTGCAGGTGGACTAGGCCTTAATGAACAGAAGGTGAATCTATTTCACCAAGGCCAGGAGGCCTGAGCATTAGGGAAAACA